GTTAGTGTTATATACTGAAAGCTTGGCTTTGCATGTTATTACACATTTATCCTTTATGAATGTGAATCATGTTAGATTAAACAAGTTCTACGTTCTGTTTTTCTGCACTTAGATGGAGTGGGTCGTCATTGAGCGAACGGAAGATCACTCTATCAGTTACTTGCGAACAAGAATAGATGTTCACAACCTAGATGGACATGAACATCCCATCCGAACGGTTGTAGTATCAACTGTACAGTTTGTTTTGACTGATTAGTTGCACTAGTACATTTATGTATTGAACAGGATCCCAGAGAGGAGAAGTTCATTTTATACTGATCGTCGTAAATGAACTAGGCCTTGGTTAATTACTGCATTCTCTTAACCCGTAAGATATTAAACAGGCAGATATATATAGTATATATTACTTTGATTCACTTGGGTGAAGTTCAGTTCACTGGATCAATATTCCTACTGTTTTGGGTAATATTATTATATATAGGTGTGCTGTTAGGATATTTACGGTCACCATGTGCGTTAGTTTGATGATGCCGAGTTCATGAAGGATTAATATGCTAAACCCTGCAGGTGGATTAAGTTCCGGCATAATAAGAATGTGATGAACGAGCGCTAGCTTTGGTGAAATAATAATAAATTAATTAATTCTTGATTGTCACTAATCGAATTAATTAATGGACATTATATCATAAACGTGGGGAGGTAAATCGAGTAATTATTATTGGAGTCTCAAATGTAATTTGGGATAGGAAAAAAGAGTGTAATAATATAATGTTTGTGGCTCATTAATATTATTTATTTAATTAGAGGAGTGGCTTGGCCCACAGTTACTCTAATTAATTAAGGAGCCCATTTTCCTAATCTCCTAAGGGTCCCTACTATAGCTCTATATATACATCATTAAGCTCATGAGAAGAGAAGACATCTGTTCATTATACACGAACACGCCCCACGCCTCTCTCTCTAGATCTCATTCGAGCTTTATCTTCTTCTTGTTGCTCCACTGGTACAAGTACTTCAAGAAGGGTGTATTGAGTAATACAGTAGAAGATCTGTAGGTAAACCCAGACGAAATATATTTTATCCTACAGAACTAACCGGAGGTTCGATTGAGGCGCACAACTTACCCAGACGACTGCCTCGACAAGAGCTTTCCATCGCCGTCGAGATCGCTGGATTCCACCGCTGCACGCGCCCTCACGCGCCACCGGAAGGAGCCTGACTGCAAGATTCGCCTTCATCTGTTTGCACCCTTTTGATCCGGTTTTGATCTGATCTTGTTCGTGCAACCCAAGACGTGATTTGAGGTCAACCATTTGCGGTCAACCGTTTGTGGTCAACCATATCTACATTAATTTTAAGCCGTAAGTTCTCTACGTCAAACCTTCAGATCTGCTGCGCATAGGTTTACGTTTGCTATTGAATACGTGACTTGTACATAACGAGATCCTCACAGATCCCAATAACTGGTTCAAATAAAAGCTAGTCCTGGTGTGAGAACAGTGAGAACCATATTCGATGCTATTTTTAATATTAGATGATGCTATCATTTTCGAAAACGCTAATATAAATTGTGTTGCTATTTTTAATAAAATTCATCCTGGTTAAAAATAGCACCAAACACAACCAATCATAGCACTATGCACAATTAAAAATAGCAGTTCTCACGGTTCTCACAATAAGACTTAGTTCTCATTTGCACCACATCATATATATATATAAAGCAATAAACATTGGGTTGCCTCCTAACAATCGCTAAGTTTAACGTCTTTAGCCAGTTGAGAGTGAAGTTCGATCAAAGGTCCTTCAAATTAATGTAGGATTGTCCATGGGCTGAAAAGGTCGCTTTCTCTTGTGCAATCAATTCCTCCGCTATCGGTGGCCACATCTTCAGGATCACGAATGGCCTCAAAATTCTCGACTTTAACCTTTTAAGAAATAAATTTGATCCCTGCGTACGTTCTTTTTTGTAAAACTCCTCTTCATGCCACTTCTTCTTCTTTTTCTTATAAGTTCTCGAACTCTCATTGCAAACATCTCGCTCTTCCAACTCATTAAGCATGAAAAGTTTTACCTTGCTCACCAAAGACATAAGAGTACCACCCACATATTTATACTCCTGTTGCTACCAGGTCTCTGACACGGGCATAATACTCGTTCGCAGCCCGTGTCAACTCTGCCTGACTTATCTTCAACTCCGATTTTCACCGTTTTGCTCTTCGACTTCATGATATCTCTCGACTTGATCGCATCACCTGAATCAATAGTGTCAATAAAGTTAGTATGCACAATATTATCATGAAATATATGTTTATGTATTAAAAATAACACATGTTCATCACTGACACGTGCCGTGTTGAAAATTTTCACCCTTCTTTTTGNAAAGTGTATGCAACTATTGAAAAATAAAAGAAATTCCTCCTTAAAAAAATATAAGGAACGTATGTGTGAACGTTTATTTCTCGCACGATCTCATTTGATCATTATAAAAGACTACGAGTGGATGCCTTCCAATTTTAACGAATAAAATACTATCTTCAACTTTTTACCAAATCAACATGGCTCGCGACACGATGGTACAACGAAACCTCTCTCTCTCTCTCTCTCTCTCTTTTGGCTAAATAAGTTTTTTGGTCCCCTAACTGACACCTATTTGGCTTTTGGTCCTGAGAATTTGGAGATTTGGCTTTTGGTCCTGTAAGTGCAAAAAAATTTGTGTTTTGGTCCTCTGACCGCCTGTAGCAGGTCACCGTGACCGGCTAGCCTACGTGGAAATTCATTTGTTTTTTTCTTTTTTTCTATTGCTCGCGTGGCAGGCCTAGTGGAAATTCACTTATTAAAACTTATACATAGTTTATTATTAAATTTTACTAAATAAAAATGAGTAAACTAAATAAATAGTAATATACTATTTAATTACTTTGTTTGATTAAATTTTTATTATCAGTGATGTTTTTTATACTAATTTACCTTATTAAATTTTAATTAATGTTTTTATATTTTTAATAAATATTTTCTAAATAAAAATATTAAATAATATAATAAATAAATATATTAAATAGCATAATTTTATTATTTATATTTATATAAATATATTTATATTAAATAATATATTTAATATATTTAAATTAATATATTAAATGATTGTGATATTAAATAAATATATATTGAATAAATATTAAAAATATAAATTTTCAATATTTAAATATTTAATATATTTAATTAAATTTTATTTGTCTATTAAGTAAATGTTTACTAAATAAATAAATGTATAAAATAATATAAAAAATAAATAACAATAAATAAATAAATGAAACATTAAATATATTTAAAATTAAATATGGTAAATTAAATAAAAACAAAATAAATGATAATAATTGTTAAATTAAAATTACTATATTTAGTATTTATTTATATTAATTTCATTATTTCAAATAATAATTTAGTAAATACGTATTAATTATAAAATGAAAGTCATTAAACTAAATAAATAATTAATATTATTTTATTTTATTTTTAATTTATAGTTTATTTTATTATTATTAATTAAGTATATAATTAATGTTTTATTATTTAATATGTTTATTTATATCATATATATTTAATAAATTTATTTATTTAGTTAATATTTAAAAATAACGTTAAATATATTAAATATTTTTTAAGTAAATTATTTTGTAAATATTATTAAACATTTGTTTATTTATATTTATTTAGTAAATATTTAATTCAAGAAATTTATTTATTAAATATTCGGTTAATATATATTTATTCAAATAAGGTAAATTATAAAACAATTTAAATGATGATAAAAGTTAAACTAAATAAAATATATTTAGTATTTATTTATTTTAATTGCAATATTTAAATATGAAATTTATTAAATATGTATTACCGAAAAACTAAAAATAAGTAAACTAAATAAATAAACAAATAAATAATATTATTTTATTTTATTTTTAATTTATATGTTATACTTAATTTGAGTTTATTGTATTATCTAATTTAAAATATATTAATTACGAAATAACAAAAATAAATAAAAAATATTAAATATTATTTTATTTTTTAATTATATGCTTTATTTAATTATAGTTTATTTTATTATTTATTATTTACCACCTTTAGTATTTATTTTATTATTTATTATTTAAAAAATTTATAATATTTATAATTTATTATATTTATTTACATAATATATAATAAATTATTTAATATATTTATTTAATATATAAAAATTTTTTATTAAAATTTATTAAATTAAATTAAAATTTAAAAATAATATTAATGATAATAAAAGTTTGATTAAACAAGAATGTATATTATTTATTTCTTTATTAAGTTTACTGTTTTTTATTTCATAATTATATATATTTAATAAATAAATTATGTATAAGTTTTATATTTAAAAGTAGTATAAATAGAATAATCTATATATAAGTGAAGTTAAATTGATAAAACAATGTTGGTAGATATATCAAATTTTTAGCATAATATATGTTAGTTCAAGTGGCCCAAAACCTCTTTGGAAGGGTTGAGGTCCTAGGTTTATGCCACATAATCTGCCACCTAAGCTTACAACTCAGCAAAAGAAAAGATTAAAAAAAAATCATGTGATTTTCCACGTAGGCTAGCCGGTCACGATGACCTGCTACAGGCGGTCAGAGGACCACAACACTATTTTTTTTTTGCACTTACAGGAGCAAAACCAAATCTCCAAATTCTCAATTTTTTCCATTTATGCCACATAATCTGCCACCTAAGCTTATAACTCAACAAAAAAAAAAAATCATGTGATTTTCCACGTAGGCTAGCCGGTCACGGTGACCTGCTACAGGCGGTCAGAGGACCAAAACATTATTTTTTTTGCACTTATAGGATCAAAAGCCAAATCTCTAAATTCTCATGACCAAAAGTTAAATGGGTGTCAGTTAGGGTACCAAAAAACTTATTTAGGCCTCTCTTTTCAAACACAAAAACAAACTCACACAATTGATCCCACCTTTGAGTATAATGGCCGTGATCCACGAAACAAGGATCTCGTCATCTTAAAGATACCCAATTTTTTCAACTTTGAATTTTAAGCAATTTCATACATCACACTCCATTTCCCTCCATTTGAGACAATATCCAACTGTCCAAAACAAAAGAAATCTCTACACATACAAACATATAAACATATGGACCGCACTGAAACCTCAAACACTCTTCTTAATTTTAGATAATGATCACACCACAACACTAAAACTCTCCTTAAAGAAAGAAAGACACTATACACACCATGGCCGCATCTAAAAGCAACCTCATAGACATCCTCATCATCTTCTTCCTTCTCGTCTTCATCCCAGCCTATTCAAAGGACATCACCTGGTGGTGCAGCACCACCCCCCACCCAGGCCCCTGCACCCACTTCATGTCCCACTACACCGCCCCACAATCCCCACAAGACTTCCGGACCATGACAATCCAAGCAGCCCTCCATCGCTCTCTCGAGGCCCAATCGCAGGCCCGTCCCGGCCCAACCCACTGCCGCAGCAAACGCAAAACCGTCGTCCTCCGAGACTGCAACAACCTGATCGAAAACACAGTCGTCCAGCTCAACACCACCCTCCAAAGCATCCGCAACAACGCCAGCTTCACGGGGTGGGACGTGCAGACGTGGCTCAGCACGGCCCTAACCAACATCGAGACCTGCCGCTCGGGCTCGCGCGACCTCAACCTGACGAGCTTCCGGAGCCCGGTTCTGTCCGGGAATGTCTCGGAGCTCATCAGCAACAGTTTGGCCACTAATTGGGCTTTCTTGGAGAAGAATAATTATTCGAGGTCGGGTGGTGGGTTTCCGCAGTGGGTGACGAGGAGGAGGATGCTGATTAGGGCTGATGTGGTGGTGTCGAAGAGTGGGAGAGGGGAGTTTCGGTCGGTGCAGGCGGCGGTGGAGTGGGCGGTGGAGAGGAGGAGGGTTGGGAGCAGGCGGCGGGTGGTGGTGCGCGTGAGGGGAGGGGTGTATAGGGAGAATGTGTTGATAGGGAGGACTATGAGTAATGTTATGTTGGTTGGGGATGGGTTGAGGCGGACTGTTATCACGGGCGCTAGGAGTGTGTCGGCTGGTTTTACCACTTACAGCTCTGCTACTGTCGGTAAGTTTTTATTGTTCTTCTTCCACCTGTCGACTCGTGCTTGCATGTACAACGTGCTATGGTATACTATTGCTAAGCGGATTAATTTTTTTCATATTGAATGTTTGNAATTAATAAGTGAGCAGAATCTCTATTATATAGTTGACTTTGAGTCGGAATTCTTTTTTTTTTTTTCAATAAAATTATTTGGCAGAGTGACGCACGGCAAATTAACTGATTGTTGGATATTATTACATTGGGAAAGTCTACATGAACCATTACACATGCATATTAGTGTAGGATAGATAATTTACGGTTAAAAAACTACGACGAAATGGTTTCGTAATATAATTTCATTTTTGAATTTATAATCACTTTTAATTATTTCTGATGTTTCTAATTCGGATTAGAAAATGCCTGAATGAAACTAAGTTAATTCCAAGAAAGTAAAGGGATTCTTTTACTTTCCTCAAATTCCAAATTAAATTTTTCTTTCAGCCAAAAGAAGAGATTTGCACTTGAATCAATTATTTTGCTTAAAAGCTCATGGTGTTGATCATTCTAGTCAACCTATTTAAGCTTATGGCTTAAATTTCACATTTATTGACGCTTTACTTTACCAATAGCTTTCCACACCATCAAGTATGGCCACCCCTGCGCTGGCCATCTTGGCATCCCTAAAAAATAAGAATTAATTGTATGCCAAGACACTACTACTATTCCCTCAATTTCATTCATAATTTTGACTACAATAACTAATGAAAGCCAAACCAAAATAAAAGTTCAAAAATATCATCATACGCGCAGGCGTGGACGGCATCGGCTTCATCGCCCGCGGCATCACATTCCGCAACACGGCCGGCCCACGCAGTGGGCAAGCCGTAGCCCTCCGGTCAGCCTCCGACCTATCGGTATTCTACGCGTGCGCATTCGAAGGCTACCAAGACACATTATTCGTCCACGCCCAACGCCAATTCTACAAGTCGTGCTACATTTACGGCACCATCGACTTCATCTTCGGCAACGCTGCAGTCGTCTTTCAAAACTGCGTCATTTACGTGCGCCGGCCAATGTGGGGCCAAGCGAATGTTATCACAGCCCAAGGACGAGGGGACCCATTCCAGAACACGGGCATCTCAATCCATAACTCACGGATAATGCCAGCTCCAGACCTCCGCCCAGTGGCCAGGTCATACCGAACCTATCTTGGCCGGCCCTGGCAGCAGTACTCGCGGACCGTTGTAATGAAGAGCTTCATAGACGGGTTTGTTAGCGGTCAGGGATGGTCTCAGTGGGAAGACTCCAACTTCGCGCTCACCACATTGTACTATGGGGAGTACCGCAATTTTGGTCCTGGTGGGTCCACGAGGAATCGAGTTCGGTGGCCTGGGTATCACGTCATCACAAGCTCTAACGTGGCGGCTAGGTTCACGGTTGGAAGCCTTATCGCGGGTCGGGCGTGGTTGCCGTCCACTGGAGTTCCCTTTACGCCTGGCTTGTGATATGCGTACCTTTTCATTTTAACCATTTATTATTGGTGGTATGGTGAAATTAATATATTTTTTGATGATTGCTTTGCTCGGTTATTAATTTTGTATATTTCATGCTGTTGCGATAGAAAATTAATCAACTTCGTATTATAATTATTTTTTATTGTTGGTATTAAATATTTATGTGAATAGTGGGGGACAAAACTTTTTATGGTGAATTGATTTCCTTGCAAGTGGGAATTGTTTTTTTTTTCTTAAGAGGATGTATTGTTTAATGTGAATTGTTTTTGTTTTCAATTCTCCTTGAGCAACACTTCAACCGATTACACAAATATATATAGTAGGTAGAGGAAAAATCTAGAGCACCTTAAGCACTAATTATTTCAACAACCAACTAATTTTTATTCAACAACCAACTAATTTCTAGAATGAGCATTAATTAATTTAACACTCCCCTTAATGCTCATTTGGATAATTACAAGTTTTTCGTGTAGAGTCTCGAATCTTGGTTTCGGTAAAGTCTTTGTGAAAATATCTGCAAGTTGATCTTCAATGGAAACATACGTGAGCTCTATCTGATTGTCATTAGTTGCTTCTCTTAGAAAATGATATTTGATAGCAATGTGTTTGGTCCTGCTGTGATGTACGGGATAAAGAAAAATCAGAATAATCATAGGATAAAAACAAGGAATATTTGCAGGTTTGTTCGTCATTTATGAAACATGAACGTATGCGGCTGCAGCAAATTTGATGTTTCTTGATTGATGAGAAATGTGCATTGAATACAAATATATATGTGTGTGTGGGACAATTCTAGCCACACAATGTCAAACCATAACTAGATAAGGCTATAGCTATTATTTACAAAATAACCTTTGATTTGTCTTCTTCTCCATTCAAGTTTTGTTCTCTTTCTCTTTCCATGGGCCCAGTCCACGTCTGCATGGCAGAATGCTTTTCTTCTTCTTTATTTGCTGCTGATTTTGAATTGATGCTTGGACTTTTACCTCCCCTCAATTTGAACAAGGGGTGAGAGACTACTCCTAGTTTATCTCTCAGCTTTGTGAAAAATTGATTGGACAAAGGCTTTGTAAAAATGTCATTTACTTGTTCACATGAAGGAACATGTTGAACTGAGACTTGCTTGTTCATTACTTTCTCCCTTATAAAGTGTAAATCATTCTCGAAATGCTTTGTCCTTGAGTGGAAGACTGGATTTGCTGCAAGTGATATTGCTCCCTGATTATCTACCCAAATGGTGGGTATTCTGTCCAAGGTTAACTTCAGTTCACTGAGAAGGTTCATGGTCCATATTACATCGCAAAGTCCATGTGCCAAGCTTCTATACTCTGCTTCTATGCTCGACCTAGAGACCACTGACTACTTTTTGGAGATCCATGCAATCAAATTGTTACCAAGGAAAAGGCATGAACCTGAAGTGGATTTTCTGTCATCTGTATCAGAAGCCCAATTTGCATCCACAAAGGCAACTAAGTTCATAGAAGTATTGCTGTTGAACTTAAGTCCCATTTCCTTAGTGCCTGAAAGGTACCTCAAAATCATTTTTATAGCTCTCCAATGAGTGTTTAATGGTGACTGCATGTACTTGCTTACCTTGTTAACACTATAACTGATTTCAGGCCTAGTTATAGTGGCATACTGTAAACTTCCAACCAGAGCTCTATACATGCTAGGATTGGGTAAAGGGTCACCTTCTGATTTTGATAATAAAGGGCTTGTTATCTTTGGAGTATTGAGGCCTTTGGCTTCTTTCATTCCTGCTTTTTCAAGTAACTCCTCAATGTATTTTCTTTGGCTTAGAAACATACCATTTTCCTCCTTGATGAACTCAACTCCCAGAAAATAATTGAGATCTCCTAGGTCCTTCATGGTAAACTGAGATTTTAATGCCTCAAGGATTTTATTTATTTCTGAATTTGAGCTTCCTGTTATTATGAAGTCATCCACATATGCTAGCACTAGCACAGTGTGATTATCCTTGTGCCTGATGTAAAGAGAGTTGTCAGCCTTAGATACCATGAATCCCAAGTTCAACAAACAGCCTTCAAGCTTGCAAGACCAAGCTCTTGAAGCTTGCTTCAACCCATACAATGACTTAGCAAGTTTGCAAACCCTGTTTTGCCCATTGAGAATCTCAAAACCAGGTGGTTGTTCCATATATATTTCTCAATCTATGTACCCATTTAGGAATGTATTATCCACATCCAACTGTCTCAAGGGCCATCCTTTGGAAAGAGCAATTGACAGCACTATCCTCACTATGGTTGGCTTGATGACTGGACTAAAGGTCTCTTGGAAGTTCAATCCTGCTGCTTGGTTGTATCCTTTGGCCACTAACCGAGCTTTGTATTTTCCCAGGCTTCCATATGCATTAGTCTTAGTCTTGAACACCCATGTGCACCCTATGGTGCCTTTTCCTGCTGGAAGTGGACACAAAATCCAAGTATTATTTTTAAGCAATGCTTTATATTCATTTTTCACTGCTTCTGTCCAATGAGGGATACTCAATGCTTCCTCAATGCTTTCTGGTTCCTTGAGATCAGCTGAAACCATGTTGTAGGCTTTTGGCTTGTAAATCCCAGCCTTGGCTCTTGTGATCATGTGATGTTGATCTGTATTTCTTGGTTCAGAACAATGAGTAACACTATCAGGATTAGAATTATTCTCAATAGGCAACTCAATTACAATTTGACCACCTTCAGGTGAGGAAGTAATGGAATATGGTGAATGTGATGGAATGTGTCTGGGTGTAATGGACTGTGAGTGTCTTGGTGCTTGTGGCAATGAATCTAGGTTCTGGTTTTGGGATATATGAGGTGAATTTTGCCCTTGAACTCTTTGTGGTAAGGGAATGGTGATCAAAGGTGAAAAAGATTGGGTAAGGTGAGGCTCAGTTTCTGATTTGTCCTTCTCTTTTGACCAAGTAAAGGAATTTTCATCAAAGATCACATCTCTTGAAATAATAACCTTACCACTCGGGAGCTGTATTTTATATCCTTAGTATCCAGGTGAATAACCAAGAAAGGTCCTTGGTTGTGTTCTGAACTCAAGTTTATTCTTATTGTAAGACCTTAAACATGGATAAGCAAGACACCCAAAATTTCTGAGTTGATTGAAATCTGGTATTTTCTCAGTAAGTACTTGGTAGGGTGTTTGGTAGTTAATGACTTTGGATGGTGTTCTATTTATAAGGTACACTGCACTAGTGAATGCACTATCCAAATGTTTGGTAGGAACATATGAGTTAGATAAAAGAGATACCCCTACTTCAACAATTTGCCTATGTTTCCTCTCAGCTAATCCATTCTGTTGAGGGGTATAAGGGCATGAAACTCTATGCTCTATTCCATTTTCAAGAAGGTAAGATGACATGGCTTTGAATTCTCCACCTCCATCAGATTGGAGAGTTTTTATACTCTTTGAAAATTGATTTTTAATGAGGGAAACAAGGTGTTTGAACGCATTCAATGTATCTGATTTATGTTTCAAAAGGTAAATCCATGTGAATCTAGAGGCATGATCGATAAAACTTACATAGTAAATGTAGCCATTCATGGATTTCACAGGTGCAGGTCCCCACAAGTCACTATGAAAAAGCTCAAATAAACCATATTCTTTATCATCAGAATGATTAAAGGGTAATCTGTAAGATTTGGATTGCAAACATGGTAAACATAAAGACTGAACATCATTCTTTGAATAGGAGATGTAACATTGTTCTAAAGCTCTCTTCACAATGTCCAAAGATGTAACACCCCACTTTGATTTAAGAAATAATCCATGGCTTTTTCAAAAATCCGATTAACATTTTCGAAATTCTTTTCTCGAAATCACATTAATAGGGCATTATCTTTTTTCAAGTCATATTTGAAACCTCACGGGAATTCATTACCCATTTTTTCACATGGACCTCATTGTCCTAAATCATAACAGCTCACATGATATCTAAAATAACACATCATCATGAATATCTAAACATAGTTCATCAAAACTAGTCAAATCACAAAAACCCGACCAAATGTTTATAAAATTCGAGCAAATTTATGGCAAAAACGAGTTTAAATTAACAACCCGACCTAATGAATGATTCAAACTCTGAAATTTGTATCCAAGGAACCACAGTATGTGAATACCAGTGTGTAAAAATCTCAGCTATAAACACCAAACATGCGATTTATTAAAATTGCTACAACATTCAACAGTTTTCGAATTTTGAACAGAACTTAACCTAAATGAACTATAGAACTTTCAATATTTTAACAGCATGAATTACACCACAAAATAGAAATTTCAACCAAAATTAGAATTTTTCAGCATCAGATCCATTTTTCATAATTAAAACAATTTCTGGAAGAAACACAAAATAATTTATTTACCTAAGCTAACTGGATAAAAAATTTATGAAAATTTTACACAGTAAGCCAACATGCCAGAGGCACAACATACTCGAATTTCATCCAATTTGGAGAACTACACAATTTATTATGCATTTAACATTGAATCTGACCAGAAATTATTTTAATTATTTAAAATAGCTACAGACCACACAAAATTATGAAAATTTTTACATAAGCTTCATAATAAACAAAGGCAATTACACCAAAAATTTCATGGAAATCGGACCAGTGAGAAATTTATTATGAATTTATCAAATATTCAGCAGCTAGTTAGGATTCGAAAAATCATAAACGACTCAGTACTCGACCAATTCGTCCAAGGCTTTCGTCATAAGACCTAGGACTCAACAAGGTTCCATTCCACATCAACTTAAACACGAACGACGAGGTCTCGTTTGATTTCTCAAAATCGAAGAGCTCGTCTACACACATTCAATATATGGAACCAAATACGAACACATAAAATCGAAAGGCTTGAAATAATCGCATCACATGATCAACACGTGAAATAATCGCATAACATAAAATGATATATACGATTTAACGAAACAGGGTTCGACTAGGTACCGTTCTCGGGAAAAGCTCGAAAAAACA